GGTGATGGGAAACCCATGGGGATTACAATTGAGATGAAAAAAAAAAAATGTGAAAAATGATGTAAAAATAAACTTTTTAATTAAAAAAAAAAAAAAAAAAGCTAGGTGTGATGCTCACCTCTCCATCCACACTCTGCAGACCGTACTGCTCACAGATGGAGACCAGCTTCTTGCGGTTCAAGTGACCATCACGGGTGATCCCCAAATCTTCACAAACCTCCTGCAGCTTCTCTTCTATCCAGTCATGGGGAGGGGAGGACACACCTTGTGAGGCATTCAAATCATCTGGGTTCCAAAATCTTAACTGGCCTGAAATAAAAGGATACATTGTGCTGTTCCCAAAGGAGTTGATAAAAAAGAAAACGCCTATTTGCAGATAAAAGTGGGCTTTTTGAAAACAAATACTGTAAAAAAAAAAAAGACTATAAATGTTGATTCCATTTTTATTTGACCCTGAAGTTCAACTGAAACAGAACCATTGGTTCTTGGGCTGCAAAGAGGCACTTTTTTGTTCACTGGCAGTCATATTCATGTAAGAATACTGTGCAATCATGCCAAAGTTCACGGCTCATTTTATTCCAGTGAGAAACATGCCCAGACTTAGGCTTTGGTGTGACTGAAGAGAAGGCTGGAAGGGTGCCACTCCACAGATCTTTGTGCACCCTGCCTCAGCTACGGTGACCGCACTGTGATCTTTCTCGTGGGAGCACTGAAGTAATTTCATGATAAATATCACAAAATAATCATAATGTCTCATGATTAGCCTGCCTCCCAATTTATACACAAATGAACAACATTCTGACCCACAGAAACCTAACAGGCCAACTTGAAAGAATGGTGCTAAGTTCAAGTTCCTAATTATCTACATTTTCAGTTCCATTTGAAGACATACGTGGATTAAACTGTTAATTTAAAAATGAAGACTGCTTATTTATGCTCATTAAAAGTCCTTACTTTTTACTTAACAGTATCACAGGTCAGAGATTCTGTAACATGAGATAGCTACTGGCAAGATTTCGTGTCTGGAAGAACTTTATAGGACTGAAAACAGCACTAACTGGTATTTTGACTATTTATCAGCAGAAACCAAGTTCAAGACAGCTGTGTCTTTCCAGGTGGGAGACCTAGACAACACCTGGTAATTACAGTTAAATACACTAACCCAGGGCAGGCCTTCAGCCAGTTGAGGTTCTGACGGTGTAACCATAGTGCCACCTGCTGGTGAGATCTACATATTCTGCTATTTCTTCCTTTTTT